ATATTCACCTGATTTTCGAATCTTTTTTTAACCTTTTACCTGAAATTCCTCAATGACCACTAAACAGAATTTAATAAATTTTTTTTTTACTTTAATTCTACAAAAGTGCAGAATTAAAGTAAAAAAAATAATTTTTGCTAAGTTTGATCAACGGGTTGAGAAACATTCGCTAGAAGTTTTAAAAAGACTTCGTTTAGAATATCCCGTGATTACTAATAATTATTAATCATAGGCTTTAGCCATCATGTACGTATAACTTATATGCTTAAAGTATAAATAATATTTTAAATTTAAATAATTGCATTTTGTAAATATTTTATATGGCTTAGATAGGAGAAGGAATAGTATTATTTGTTAATAAAAAATAAAGTTGCTATTATGTTATTTTATCATTAATTAATATAGGAGCTTACTTGAATAGCTTAGCTGCAGCGATAAGTTATAGGGTAGTTAAGTTAAGAGAAGAAAAATTTCAGTTACTTGATCCACCTATCATTAAAAATTTCATTGGCATTTTAACCTTCGTGATTATAATAGTATTTACTTGCTTATCTCATATTTTCTTAACCAAGTATATAGTGAAAAGTATATTTAATTTTATGAAAAAATAATTTAAATTCATATAAACTTATATTTTAGCTATTTTGTTAATTCGTGAAATTTTAGCTACATGTTCTTTATTAATAATTGTTGAAAATAGTTAGATTACTCAAGACAGCAATTCAGAATTAATTTAATACATAGTCTTTTTCAAAACTTAAATAATATGTTAATTATAATCTAAACGATTAAGCCAAGGTAACTTTAATAAAGCATAGTTATTTCAAAAAGCGAATAGCTGAAATTTTATTTTAATATACTTAGTATTACTACGGTTCTGTTTCAGCTTACAACATTATTTCTCAAATATTAATACTATCTAGAAATTCTATATTAATTTTTAAAAAATTAATATTTACTATAAAAATAATATCCACGGCTTTGGTTTATTCCAAGTTTTGTTGCACCGTCTTTTTCGTTGTGATGTTTCTATGTCCTCAATAATAGTAAATGTACGCTTCATATTGTCAACCATATTCTTTACATGTTTTAAATTGTTTGCTGATAGTTCATCATTCAAATGATTTACTAAACGTTCCAATGCAACTATTTTAGACTTACAATCTTGGTAAAGTTCAGGATCAAGGTTTTCATTATCTTCATTAATGGTAAAAGAATTATTATCCATAACTACGTTTGTAGATATTTGCAACTTAGTATTAATATAGTCTTGTGGATTATTACCATCCCAAATTAAAAATGGATAGTCTGTACATCATTTAAAATTGGAATATGTTAGACGAACACCTTCAGGATTATTTAATTTTTTTTTTCAATTGCACAATGAACTAGATGTTTGCAGATAAGAAATCTGCTATTTAAAAATAATTTGCAACTACACACCCAACGTGCTAGATCAATTGTATAATTTTTTTAGCATCTGAAATAACTGGTTTTATTGCGAGCTGTTTCCATTCCCTTTTAAAATCATCAAACCATGATGGAATTATTTGACCGAGTTGCATCTGCTAAAAGCGAAGAACTTGATCTGGCAGAACACGAGAACAAATAACCTATATAAGATAATCTAATCTTGGTCGATTATAACGATAAAGATAGCAATGCTTAAGCACTTTCCAATGTGCTTCAATTAGCATGTTTGTCTTTCCAAGAGGAATTGTTGCATGAGTAAAACGTGCCCAGAGACACTATCGTTCAAATTTATACCATGAACACCAGAGATAAGACCATAATAATACAAGATTATTATTAAAGCAAAAATTATACATCTCATGCACAGCATTTGTTCGAATTTCAGTAGAAGTTAAAAATTGTCCACTTGCATTAGATGGAATCTTAGAGTGCATATTAAAATACATTTTAATTAAGTCAATAACTTTTTGTTGCAGATTTTGAGGGCAAATTTCATTATTTAATTTTTCTAGATTTGGTTTAAACTCTAAATCTATAAAATTAAATTCTGCGGCTGCATCCCAGGGCAATAGTGAATACGTTGAATCTTTTTATGACATTTAAGCTTTAGATTAATTGCCTTTTCTATGTGCTACTGACAAAGTTGTATATCTGTAGTAGGCCAGGTTCGATTTGCTGCATTAATCTCAAAAAAGTCTTTATCTGTGTAAAAATATTCTGGATATAATCCCCTATTACGAAGTGAAGTAAAAAATCCAAAGAGAGCATGAGTTCTTCGTTCTTCTTGTGATACATTTTCAGAGCTTTTGTAGTATCTAATATAAGATAAGCTAATGGATACCCGGAACCTTCAAAATTACAAATTATTCCATATAATTCAAACTGTCCTTTCACGGTTTTATAGGTTGCATCACAGTGAATTTCAGATTTTTGTTGAATTTTATTATATAAAGGTGTTATAAAACCAATAGCAACAATTTGACTATTCATTAACTCAAAACATAGTTCACAACCTGTAGCCTGTTCTAATTTAAGAAAAGTATATGCCAAATTAACATAATCTTTTTCAGACTTATAAAAATTCTGAGTAAAGAATGACCACCAATAACGAATTTGATATGCTATAATCTTTGAAATATCAAACTTATCTTGAAGATATGTTCGAATTTGTAGGGGATCCATATGAAGATTTGTTTTGATTTCTTGTTTTATTTCTATAGGCATTGTAACATCAACTGGTCTTTCATGAAGAATATCATGTTTAAGATCTATTATAACTTTAGTTGCAGGAATATCAATACGTATAATTAGCATTCCATGGTAATCAAAACGAACCATTCTTTGCCGATTTGATTCTTTATAATCACGTGCTAATTCATTACACTGAGAGTAGCTAAAATAGAAGGTGCCAACATTTTTATGGCAAGTTGAAATACGTGGTGCTGTTTTAACTCTTATAAAATTTGAAAACATTAAATATTATTTTTTTTTAAAAAAAAAAACTTTTTTAATCTTTTTAATACTTACACCCAAGAGTAACCATCACTCTCTTCAATATAATTAACAATTGTATTAGCAATCAACTTAATATTAAAATTCTGATTAACTAAAATAGATATATCGGCAATATCAACTTGTACTGTAAAGTATAACCCCATATTATTCTCAAGATTGTCTGTCAACCCTGCAAAATATTCACTTAAATCTTCTAATGAAATAACTTCAGGTATATTAACATTATTATCATCAGGCAAGGCTTTTTTTTCAGCTCTTTTCTCAGCTTTTTTAATTAAACAAGTCGCACATGTTTTATATTTTTTTCCATTAAGCATAAAAGCTTCAGGTGGATAGTGATTATTACAAGAACTATATTTGTCCATTATGAAGAAAAAGATCAAATAGTAAGTAACATATATGTATATTAAGCTATTTCACATTTATTGAAGCTATTGAAAAAAGAGCATAAAAACGATTTGTTTTTCTCCAAACATTATAAATTAGTGATGATATAATTATTACCGCATTGTAAATAATAATTAATTATGAAGTCAATTATGACTATATTGTTATTTAACACTTAATCAATCAACTCTCCATAAATGTATTTAATGTCTAAGCGCATATTGTTTAATTGATCCAATATAATATAACATAAATATATATGTAGTTGAGAATAAATCACTCATATTCTACGTATAATTATTTAAAAGTCATTCTTAATTAATGAAAACTTATTAAAGATAGTTTATTCTGAAGTTTTTTTTTACTTTTTATATATAATATGTATACTATATACAAAGTTTAACCCCTAAAAAGCAATTTTAAATTAATTTATAAAATATTTATTATAACGATAAAGCACATGCATATAATACAAAAGGTAGTGCGATATGAGGATGGCTAAAGCCTATGATCGATAATTATTAGTAATCACAGGATATTCTAAATGAAGTCTTTTTAAAACTTCCAGCGAATGTTTCTCAACCCATTGATCAAACTCAGTAAAAATTATTTTTTTTACTTTAATTCTGCACTTTTGTAGAATTAAAGTAAAAAAAAAAAATTATTAAATTCTGTTTAGTGGTCATTGAGGAATTTCAGGTAAAAGGTTAAAAAAAGATTCGAAAATCAGGTGAATAT